CTGTCTTTTTTAAAGACAAAAATTTTTGAGGCGAAATACCCAAAAAGAAGTTTGTAAAAATGAATCCGCCTCAACAATATAGAACTTATCTATAATTCACTCTCTTCTAGATTTAGTTACAATTTTACGATCGATTAAAACGTTATTGATAACCCTTTTAAATAAGCCTGCTTTCAAAAGTTAAGTATTATCATTGCTAGGCCTGAAAAGAAGCTCAAGCAATGACCGCAAATGCCTAACTCCATTCACGCCATCAAAAAAATTCCAAAAAGGCAAATTCCACAAAAAGAAAGAATTTTCGCTTTAAATTATGTCCTTTATCCGAACCGATGCCTTATGAACATTAATAATGTATTCCAGACGTTTCGTAAACACGAGTGGCTTTCATCTTCAGAACTCGTTTGTTCGGCGCAGCAACCACCTCTGAAGATGCAAAACACTCGTGCTTGGAAAAACCAAATAAATTCTGGTTTTCCACATGCACATTTTGAAGAGATATAGCTTAGTTTTTTTCAGTTTAGTTTTAATTAGGTTGCACATTCAACGATTGAAGCGTTACTGATTACGTTTTCCCTTTAAGTTGCTTCACTGAAATTTTCAGCATTTTCTTTAGTTTCGTACTCAGTCGAAACTTTACGCGCTACGTAAACTTTTTAAAAGAAACTTTTGCCGAGAGTTTAGCGGTTCAGTTGTTAATGATGAGTTTGAGAAGTTGACAATCGACTAAAGTGAAGACACTGGATCGATTCTTGGTCAGTCAAGCTTAAGCTTTCCAGAGAAATACCTCTGAGGATGCAGGCCCCTCGAGCTTGCAAAACGTCTAAGGATATTGCCTAAAATTAATAATTCCAGTCAATTTACCTTGAGAATTGTCACTGTGAAGAAAATGGGCAGCAGCAGGAAAACTGCGCCATTTAACCCCAAGCTGCAGTTTAGCTCAAGATACGGCAATCCATCCGGCCAGGCCAGGACCGAATATCCTGGAAAACGGTGCTTTTGATCAACAAAAGTTCAGAAAAATCGCTGTAGTTTAGGTACCCAAAATCTCCTTTAAACACCGATAAGCCAGATAGCCTTGCAAGCTGGCGCAAATAATCCCATACCAAATGGACCAAAGGTTGTTCAAATGAATGCCATTGGTTTTGCTGTTGGAACTGACCGGCCAATCGCTTTCCTGCGATCTGATGGCTCGATAGTTTCCCTTGCTAGCCTTACTCGAAGAACTCATTTCGCTTAAGAGCTAACCAGCTAAGTCATTATCCTTGAGCCACAACTTCCAGGCAGATATGAAGAAATGCTTTAGCCTGGTAAAACATCTGGAAAAGGTTTGTAAGAAATGTTGAAGTTCAGGACTGCTTTTGCCTAAAATATTTTACTTTTGATTACTTTAATGTTTCTGAACTAAGCTTATTTGAAGAAAATCGTTGAAAAGTCTTTGCTTAAGTTCTCTACTTGGGCTGAAGCTGTAAAAGCCTTTACAACAGCCGCTCTCAAAGGAGACGCTCTCATTTGGCATTAAATTCTTCTTAGTTTCCTAAAGCATCTGACTTAATTGATACACAAGTCAAACAGAAGAGGACACCAAGTGAAATGGTCTTATGTAGTCTATATTTAGTTTTTCTTAATTTCGAAAATCATAACAATTAAATAATTTTTCTGAACGGTTTCTCAAGATTGATTGCTTTTGTAGAAAATTCGAGTATTAGTTTTATTAGTTAGTATAAATTTTCATAAATTCTGTAAAAGGATGTGCAATCGAAATTTTATTACAAATCTAGAGCTCTTAACTTCTTTTGCTTTTGTTCCGTATGCAACTCCATAAAGAAACAAAACAAAAATGAAAATATGACATTTTTTGCTTATCTTATAACTTAAATTGTGTGCAAGAATAGTGCTATCATTTGACAAAAAAAATTGTTCAAATCGGATTCCTGACAGAGAAAATTTTCAAAGTCAAACGTTAGGGAATATTTACGCTATAATAATTGTCCGTTTATTGAATGAATTCGCTGCAAAGATTGATTATTTTTTATCATTTGTTCTCTTAGTTTCTTTGTATGAATTTTATTTACGCTAAAAAAATAGTTGTGGATAAAAGTTGACGAAAATTTACCATGTTATGCAAAAAAATTCTATTTCTAAAGGCGATTTGATCTGATCATAAACTGCTCTAGATTTTCACAGTAGTTAATAAACTGCACATCGCAAAAAACAGACAAACTCCAAACGAATTAAATTTGTTTTGGGCACTATTTTAGATCTAGTTTCTGCAGCTCAAGGTATTTAAACTAACTAAACAACAATTCAATAATTTGGGAAAAACGCATTTAAAGTACTGGATGCAAAGCGACTATGAAAGCGATGCAAAAGCATCGGTGATTGAAAATAAATTAAATTAAACGCTCATAAAGAACGTTATAAAGAGAACACTTGATTATCAATGACTGGTAACTCAACCTGTAGATTGATGTATTGACTGATAATAAACTCAAATATTCAAAATCAATAAATATTCACAATCAATAAACCATCTACCACAAGCAGCTAATGGACTTATAAAGGAAAACTTGATTAAAGCACAAGCAAAACCCACAATGAGAAGTAGTTCAAGGAAACCACATAACTGGATTAGGCTTAGCACCAACCAATTTGGTTCAATATGGATACAAAACCCTTTGATCTCCCTCTGGAAACAAAGACAAAGAGAAAAAAACTGAAGCTCATTCATATAAACAATTCGCACTACGCTTGAAATATTCTGGCCGTTTACAGATCCAGGCCCTTAAAGCGACTGGCAATCTGGACTCACCAGCCGAGCTTTTGGAGATTTACATCCTCTAGCAGCTCACTGAGATCCACTTCTAGGAGGCAAACAATCAACAATGCTGATGCACACAACCAATTGTTTCACTAAACAGTTGCACAACCGGAAAAATACTGGATTCCTGGACCGAGCTGATTATTATTTGGCCCTCGTCCACATACCACAACGTCGGCCCTTAGGACGTCGTGCGTCTTTGGAAGCAACTTTTGATAGCTGCATCAAATGGACGTAAATTTTAGGGTGAGATACCAGAGCAAAATGAAAACTACCCTCGACAACCTGCGCTTCCATTGCTTATGAGAAAAGTGTCTAAAGAGCAGTAAATAAAAGATCAAAATAATGGTCTTTTGCCTTATTAAGAGGTCGTCCATAGGGAGTTGGTCCTAACGTTTCGCTACCACGCTGGTTAACATATTCAGAGGAGTGTTCGAAGAACCCAGGAAAAAAATAGTCAAGAGTGTATTTTGTGCTATAGTTGTTTGGTTTGCAAAATAATATTTATGAATGAGTAGCTTGGATTTTGATCAATGAATTGAATTTTGTAACATTTTCAGCCAAAACATGGCAGTATTATACACCCTGTACAATATGTTTAATTACTTTTTTTGCTTGTCTTTTAAAGTAATTTGTGTCCAAGAACAAAACTGTTATTGGATAAAAGAATTGTTCAAATCGAATGTTGGATTGAGAAAATATTCGCAGTCAAAATCTAGGGAATATTTAAGTTAAGGGTGAAATTTATGGTGTATTACCTCTATATGAAAGCTGTGCAAAAAAGCAATAAAAGCATCAAATAACAAATTTTCCATAACCATTTGAATTATAAAACAAACCTCCCTTGTAACATACCAACCCCTTGCAACGGACCGGCGTAACAACCCCTATCGATTTGTTGCCGGAAGTAATGGAAAATGGAGGAATTATATATTATATCCATGACATAAACTCGCCCGAGTTGCTTTGGGCTCAGTTCCGCTTGCTTCAGCCAGTTGAAAAGCAAGTGCATATTGACTTAAGCGATTTCGCTCCTTTAAACCTTTAAAGCTGGTAGAGTTTGAGCTGAGCTCAGGTCATAAAGAGGAGATTGAAATCTTTCCTTCTGTGTTCAAGGCGTTCACCAACGTGCGCTAAATTCTCTAATGTTTGGAGCTAAACATTAAAAGAATTCATTGGGATTGAACATTGTCGAAACTACCCAGTCTTTGCGGAATTGAGGAAGTAATAATAGGGTAACACAAGGTGTCACCCTAAGAAAACATAAATCAATTTAATGGGCGCATTGTCCACCTTCTCCCCCAAAGATTGAGAATTTATTTCATTGAGTAAACCATTTGAGAAACATCGGGGAGACTATGGGATGATTCATCATCTTGTCGCAAGTACCTTCTCTAAGCTGCAATTTCAATTCAAATATCCGGCTTTAAGAGGC